CTTCTTCTAGAAAAGAAACTGTGGATTGCAGTGGGGGATACACGTCCGACACACGAATATGTTAGGATTAAGTAGGGAGGGTGGGGCTGAACCAACTAGGAATAGTAGATAGGACAGTCTAGAATAAGATAGATTTGTATTTTTTCAGAAGACAAAATCATAGAAGGCATGCATGAAGGATGTAGTGGACCTGAAGCGCTAAGACCCTACGATATTAAAGTTTGAGTAAATGTTAATTTTCGTCTCTCAACTTAAGGTTTATATTATTTATATTTTTTTATATTTTTTATTTTTTAATTATAAAAAATATATAATTTTTAATTTTTAATTATTTATTTTATTAAATTTATCTAAATTTATATATTTTTAATTCACAAAAAATTTACATATATTACAAGTTGATGAATTAAAAATGTACAGATTTAAATTAATTTAATAAATTAATTAATAAAAAAACTTAAAAATTACAATTTTTATGATTAAGAGATCAAAAAAATTTTAAAAAAAACCAATAAATAAAAATTATATAAAACTTGAAAATTGAAGATCCAAAATTGACATTTCACCTTGAAAGTTTGAGTTTCAATCTAACTTTATATGGATATGGATTTTAATTTGGATAAAATCTGTAGTGCATCCTTTATATATATAAAAATATCTTTACACAGAAGTTTAGCTTAGCATTCGCCTTTTTGCTTTTTAAGCACACATCCTTAACCATGGAAATGGCAGCAATGGGGTCACTTATGAGTCACGTATGATCCAAAAATGTGACTTCAAGAAAAAAAAGATGATTTCACTTTCGGTTTTATACTTTTCTTTTTTTTACGATATAACTGTCATCTTTATCCCCTCAAAAAAAAAAAAAGAAAAAGAAAAAAAGAAAAAGGAATGATGTAATTATCATGTAGTCCATGAAGGGATAAGGGTAAAGTCAAATGACATAAAATTACCTCTGATAAATGTCGAAATCAGTACTATTATAATAAATATCTCAAGCAAGAAATTTCGTTTCAATCCAATACATTTTGTCGGGTAGTTTAATTTTTTTTTTAAAAAAAAGACAAAGACAAAAGATGTTCTTAAAAGAATGTTATAATTTGTAATGAGTAAGAATTTGAAAAAAAAAAAAAAATTCCCCTTTAATAGGTTGAAATTTGAGATGGGGAAGAGGGGATTGAAATTCGAACCCACGTGGTGAACCTAGTAAATGTAATTTTGTGAATCAGGCTTTAAACCCAATTGTTCACCTCAAGTTTTTAGGGTTTGGGTGAGGCGGTGATTAGGATTTTTAGTTTTTTAGGGTTTGGGTGAGGCGGTGATTAGGATTTTTAGTTTTACTATCGTCGTGAACTTCACAAAAAAATGATCTAATACTCACGCGCCTTATTTGAGAGAGTGAAATGTTCACTGATCTGGAACTCTCAGTTGTTAACAACTAACTTATACTAACTTCTTAATCATTATTATTGTAAAAAAAAAAAGTAAATGTACTTTTAAACAACTGGACATAGAGATTTTTTTATTTTTGTTTCATGGGAAGTAATTATTTTTGATTTTATTTCATATATATATCATGTAATTTAAATCCATAATTTTTTATTTTTAATAAAAAATAATTATTAAATTATTTAAATGGTTAACAATTAAATTTAGAATTGGTTGCAGAGTTTAAGTTTTTATGAAAAAAACGAAGTTTAGGTTAAATTGGGCTTAGTCCAGGATACAAGATTTCAAGCTCGACTTTTATTTTGGATTTGGTATTGCCGGTCCAAGCTCAACGTTTTGGATTTGTTTAATGTTTATTATTGGTGCGTATTTTTCTTCGGCACCCAACATAACTCCAAACTCGGAACTGATATTTGGGCTTGATAGACTGTCTGGTTAAGTTTATGCCAGAATGGTCAAATCCACTCTCAAAATTAGACCATTAGAATAGATTTATTTTAAATAAAAATATCGATAAATTTATTCATAAAATTTATAATTTAGGCAAATCAAATTAAATTAAATTTAACCGTATGATATTATTTAATATCAACAATCTATTAATAATGAATTTATCAAAAATGATGTTGCATAATAAATTTAAAGTTATATATTTAAATAAAAAAATTTATAAATAAATTTATCCTTATTTTTTATTCATAGATAAATTTGTAACCATTGCCTAATTTCAATAGTGAATTCACGCATTTTACTTAATTTATTATCAAAGTTTTTATTGATATCTGGGTTTAGGTTAGACAGGTTAGGGGGTTAATTTTATTTTAAAAAATTATTAAAAAGGTAATTAGTAAAATATTATATAAAAATAATAAATATAGTATGAGAAATTAATAAATTTTGTAATACAATTTTGTTATAATTTTGTTAAATTATTAATTTTTTAGTATTTAGTAAGAAATTGATATAAGAAAAATTAATAAAAAAATTATTAAATGAGTCTTATTTAGAGAAAGTTAGGGAGAAATTTATTTTAGTGTTAAGATAAAAGTTTATAAATTGAGAACTCGTGTTAAAAAATAAAAAATAAAAATATTATTTTTATTTTTTTATTATAATATTAATGTATAAAAATACATAAATAAATTTAAAGGAGAAAATATATTAAAAAAATTAGGGGGAAGTGACTTGTCACCACAGAACCCCTTGAAATTTGGAGAAAGCCAAGGAAAAATGGAAAATGATTGACTTTTTTTTATTTATTTGTAACTTGTGATATTAAATACATATATTTATTTAATAATATATAAAAATTATATTAAAAAATAATAAAAAAAGTTATTCTTATATCACTGTCTAAGAAAAATAAGTTAAATTATTTAAATTAACAAATTTAAGAATTCATTTACTTTAATAAAAATTTAGGGATGCAATAAAAAAATTTAAGAAAAATTTAAATACTTAATATAATATTTTATCTTAAAAAATTTATATTGAATTACCTTCTCTTGCCGTCCTTTAAAAAAGAAAAAAATTTGTTATGCACAAATGAACTAAGGAAAATAAAAAGAAAAAGAAAATATGGTCCAGACTCCGGAGGTCCTAACTCCAACGGAATTATTTTTCACTTGGGTGGTACAGACTCCAGATGCGTGTTGGTTGGCCCAACCAAGTAGCCCACCGGCTCACATAAAGTCAACCTCAATTACCAAAAAGCCCCAAAACATAAGCGAGTCATTTTCGCTTAATTGCCCCTGGCGGTATCGCCTGGAACGGACAACATACGCCACACCTCGCTTTCTCTAACATGGCCTCACGATCATTGTGGCGAACCCGGACCAAGCTCGCGGTGGTCGCCACTGCGTTCTGTGGCGGTGCTGCCACAGTTGCGGTTGCTACCTCCGAAGATCCAGCAAATTCTCTTAAACTCTGCACCGCTGTTCCCCTCCGCCTTCTTCGAGACTCCGTAACGGCTGCCTCCATCGCCTTTGGTACCTAAGCTCCACCTCAAATCTAGCTGTCTTCTATGTATCGCTTCTGTTAGGGTTTTGAATTTCAATTCCATTCTTAATCATTCTGTTTGATGAGGAGAAATCGTCGAGATTTAGTGATTTCGATTTAAGCAATGGGAATTTGGAGTTGAAGAAATTACATGATTAGGAAATGAAATGACATTTAATTGTTGATATACGCATGTATTGTAGATTATGAGTACTCTCTATGGGGATTGCCTGAAGGAAGTAGTGAGAGGCAGCGGATTAAACATGAAGTTCACCTCAGGTCTGCGCGCAAGCTTCAAGAACTCTGTTTCAGAAATGGAGGGATATATATTAAGCTCGGTCAACATATCGGGCAGTTGGTACGTGTTCAATTTGCTCTCTGAACCACCTACTGCAACAAAAATAGAGAAGTTTGAAATTAAAAATGTTTCATTGAAGTGATTTTTTTGAATTTATTAGTTTTTTTTTTTCATTTGTATTGTATAGGAATATTTAGTACCTGAAGAGTATGTCAGGACAATGAGGGAGTCTATGTTGAATAAGTGTCCAGTTTCTTCATATGAACAAGTATGTGAAGTTTTCAAGAAGGAGCTCGGCGAGACACCTGATAAAGTATGTAGTATTGCTTGATTTTTGACAAGCGTTTGCATGATTAGATTGGTGTTTCTTATTAAAGGCTTAATGAGTGATAGTGATATCAGCAATCTGTGAGAAGAATGCATACTGCATGGCCTAATTGATCTTTTATGTGTGTAGGTATTTAATGAATTTGACCCTGTTCCAATAGCAAGTGCTTCTCTTGCACAAGTTCATGTTGCTCATACACATGATGGCCAGAAAGTTGCTGTGAAGGTTTCAACCATTGTCACTCTTACCTGAAATTGGATTTTTTAATGCTAGGTGGAACAATGTTTCCATGTAAATTATGAAGATTTAGTGTTCAAATGTTTCTTATGGATTTACATCCCTAGACCAAATTACTTTCTTGAAATTCAGGTTCAACACACTCACATGACAGATACTGCAGCTGCAGATCATGCAACTGTGGAACTGATTGTAAACACTCTGCATTGGTTTTTCCCGTCTTTTGATTACAGGTGCGGTAGTCTATGGTTCTTTTGTTTTTGTTTTCTGGATTATGGGGAATGAATACTGATATAAATGGTTCCAAGAAATTTCTATTTAACTACTTTGGCATCAAACAAGTCAGATTAATTGAAGTTTCCTTGACTTACACATGCAGATGGTTGGTGGATGAAATGCGAGAAAGTTTACCCAAGGCAAGTTTCTTATTAAAATGTTCTCTACTCTGGCAGCAATTTTTTTCGATGCAGGTTATGAAGACTTGCAATCAGTTGCTCAAATAAAATGTTTCCTGGATTCCAATTCACTTGTTTTCTTTAGGCAGTCTGGTCGGACATGAGATTCATATCATGCTTAGTGATTGTTTTAGTGGGCCTATCTATATCTAACTCAGTTTGACACTGTTGTTAACCCATGTATTACATGGAAGATGCATCCTTGTTTGTTATGATAGGATTGCCTTCTTGTTATAGGGAATCTGAAATTTTGCATCTATTGTAAATTGACTTACCTAAAAGTATACTTGCAGGTTCTTGTAAACTATCTTGAAATCAGTATAAAGACTCGTGAAATGTAACTGTAATACCTGTGAGAGGAACCCATACTTGACTCCATGTAATGGATCTGAACATACATTAAGTTTTTCTTCCTTTGATAATGAATATCCTGCATTCATCCAATGTCTTTGTAGCTTAATATCATCCAAAACTTGATTGTAATTTACACTTTTAATTGCTTCTCTTTCTGGATAAAATGTAAGTTCTTATTTATCCAGTGACTGTTTATTCACAACTAAGCAGCAATCTGTTGCTGCTACAAAGAATGAAATTCACTTTTAAATTGTTTCAATCAGGAACTAGATTTTTTGACTGAGGCCAAGAACAGTGAGAAATGTTTGGAGAATTTCAGGAAGCTATCTCCTCACATTGCAGATTATGTATATGCACCACAGGTGCATTGGAATTTAAGTACTTCGAGGCTGCTAACTATGGAATTCATGGATGGTGCACAAGTTAATGATGTGAAGACAATTCAAAAACTTGGAATTCAACCTCAGGAAGTTGCAAAATTGGTAAGTGGTTACTGCTTAGATTTGATAGTTTGGACCACTTGCCTTTATTCATTTAGAGGCTGTCTTTAACTCCTCCAGTAAAAGCCTTTGTTAAAAAGGAAAGAGAACCTTCAGTGCATTAAGCCGTTAATGTAATACAGCCTTATAGGAACAACAAAAATATGGTTTTTTAAGTAGAAAATGCATAAAGTACTATTCTATATTTCATTGTTTGGTTCTTGAACGAGGGAGTACTTTTGGTGGTATTTAAACTATGCAGGTTAGTCAAGCCTTTGCAGAGATGATGTTTAAGCATGGTTTTGTTCATTGTGATCCCCATGCTGCAAACATAATAATTCGCCCATTGCCTTCTAGTAAATGGAACATTTTTGGTGAGTCAATCTGGTGTGAGATTATCATTTCATCATTTCTTATGCTGTGTCAAAATGCAGGCTGATAATTATTTCAATGGTTTAGTCATTTTATATATTTATAACTGGTTTTTCAAAAGAACATCGTAGGTATTCTTTGATGGCTCTAGCATTTTATCATATGAAAGATGAATCTTTTTTGCTGCTTTACTGGTGAAATTAAAATGCTTTTCGCAAATACTTTACACAGATTCCTCTTTGTCTGAATACTTTGTATTTTCCTTTGGGATACACAGCCAAGAGAAAACCACAGCTGGTACTTCTGGATCATGGTCTTTATAAGGAACTTGACTTCTCCACCAAGTTCAACTATGCCAAACTTTGGAGGGTACAGAACCACTTTCCTAAACCTCTGAATGCATTAGTGTTTTCCCATGTCAGAAACTTGATGCTTTCTGTATAATTTTCATTGAACTACAGGCATTGATCTTTTCTGATGCTAAAGCAATAAAGGAAACTAGTGTGAAATTGGGTGCTGGGGAGGATCTGTATGCTTTATTTGCAGGGATTCTAACCATGCGGCCGTGGAACAGGGTCATTGACCCTGCTGTTGATCATTTGGTCATAAAGGGCTCTGATAGTGACCGTTCAGAATTACAGGTAATTTTGATTTTTTACACATATTGTTGGTGAATAGTGATAATATCTTTCTCCTATTGGGTCCTTGGCTTGTTGAGATTTCTAACTGCTCATTTATTTTGACCATATGTTACACCTTTTCTTGCAGATGTATGCATCTCAGTATTTTCCTCAAATATCAGAGCTTCTCAGGAGACTTCCGCGTGTTATTTTGTTGATGCTCAAGACAAATGATTGCTTAAGGGCAGTCAATAATGCTCTGGTATTATATATCTCCACTCTCCTTTCATTGGATTCCATTTTAGTTTGCTTGTGGCTACTTGTGGAAGAGATTATCTTAGAGCTGTTTAACTATTAACACTTTAAATTGCTCATGTTTGGAAGCCAAATCCAAAGTCATGAGTGCTACACATCCATTATTACTAGTGCTGGCTATCGTCCAAGAGAATTTTGTATTATGTAGATTAAATAATTTATTCAATGTCCCACGCCATCCTACCTCAGATATTTCATCTTTTATGAGATTGGAAACATCATGGTTTTAGGGCATAAAGATGATATATTATTATTATTATATTTTTTGAGTTTTGGTTGAAATGGAAAGGAATGCTCCATTTCTGTCAGGAAATGTTTGGCTTCAACTCCCATCTTAAAGTGCGGTGTTGATTGAAAGTTGAAACCTTGGTTAAGAATATGCTATGCGAAATTGACTGGAATTACCTCAACTACTAGTATAGACATTGTGTCAGTTAAGTTACTGTATATCTATGTTGATGCCTACAAAAAAAAAAAAAAGAGTTAGGTTACTGTACTCTGGTGTCGTGGATTGGATATTCTGTTAAACTATTTGAATTTCTATGTACAGTTACAGGGTTCGTCCCTGGAGACATTCCTAATCATCGGTAAAGTTTCATCTGAGGCAGTTATAGAGGCAAAGCGGCTGCAGAGTAAATCCTTGTTACATCGGCTAAATATCTGGTTGGAGGAGATTTTGGTAGAAGCTCGACTTCTTGGAATGCAGTTAGCCTTGTGGCTTCTACAACTCAGGAAAACATTAGCGTGGTCAACCTAATAAAATGAATAAATTCTTTCTCAAACACAGTTTTTCTCTTCCCATTCCTTTCCATCACATATTTGGCATCAATATTCTTTGTTTCCGTCGATCAGAACTAGTCTCTCCTGCATTTGGGTTAGAGCATGGCGGATTGAAGATTGATTTTGTATCAAGATATAGCAACAAACAAACAAGTCAAGGTAATTTGTTATTTTTAGTTTCACAAAAACATTCGGCTCCAAGGGACTTCCAATAATGTTCTACTCTTGGGGTTGTTATTTAAGACCGAACAAACAGTTGTTTTTCTCAATAATAAACAGAAGGTGGAATTTTTTGGATATATACAAGCTCTCATTTGTGATGGTAGGGTTGTTGGTGGCCTGTATGTTTGTTTTTCTCAGCCGCCATAGTGGTTGCTCTAGTCAATCTTCCTCTATACTCTTTTAGATGGTGTTCATCAGGATTAAATTCTGAATGTACTCTCAGATTTGTAGTCCGTAAACCTCAACTGGTACCACCTAGTCCTAGAACTGTTTAAGAGTTAAACAGAATAATAGGGACCCATGTACCAAAAAAAAAAAGAATAATAGGGACCCAAATGAGGGGTGTGGTAATGGCCTCATATGTCTCCCCCTTGTTATATTGTTAATGGAATTCAAAAGTTTTTTAATTTGATTGATATTTTATTTGTTTATAATTTTTTTAAAATCATTCGTAATGAGCTTAAGATGTCTTAAAATATTAATTTATAAATATTAGTTATTATATTTATTATTGATTATTTTTAATAGTAAAACTAAAAAAAAAAAATTTAAGTGACTTTAATACAAATTTATTAAGTGTATCTAGTTTAATTGATACTTTAGTAATTTGTAATTTTTTTTCTTATATACCTAGTCATAATATCTAAAAATATTAGATATTAATTTTAATTTATTAAATAACAAATATTAAACAATTAATTAATTATCAATTATTACTAACAAGTAAATTAAATAAAATTAGTTTTTTTTTTTAAGATTACAAATATATTTTTTTTTTATGATTACAAATAATTATTAAATGTGAATAAATATATCATTTTCTGCTAGCAAGTGCACAGCATTCCTCAAAGGGGTCTTTTTCTTCGGCCACCAATTAGAAAGGGATTATTCCCATGTCTTAAATGAGTTAATTAGAACCATAAAAAAAAAAAAAAAGGTTAATTAGATAATGGAGGGAAGAAAAAATGATTAAATAGGCGACAATGATCAAAGCACAAACAGTGAATACCATTAACGCGGAGTCCCACGCCACGCCGCATATAATTGCAGCAAGCACGCTGAGTATCTCATCCTGATGAAATTCTGATCTTCCTGAAAGAGAAAGTGGGAGAGATGGCAGGACCGGCAAGACCTCACTTCGTCCTCTTCGGATCCTCCATTGTCCAACTTAGTTTCAGCAACGGCGGTTGGGGTGCTACCCTCGCTGACATCTACGCTCGCAAGGTTATCTCTATCTCTGACTCCCTCCTTTTTCCCCTTTCAATTACACATTCATCCTTTTATGTGCTTGGATAAATTAGTTCTGATCCGATTCATTCATGTCCTTTTAGTAAATTTGACTTTTTTTGGCTTTTTTGTTTTTGAACAATGGATTGTTGTAGGCTGACATATTTTTGCGAGGATATTATGGATGGAATTCACGACGGGCTATTCAGGTCCTTGATAAAGTTTTCCCAAAGGTTTTACTTCTTTGACACTTCTGAGAGTTGAAATTGCTCAAAGGGAATGGATATCATAGAATTACACACAATAATTACCTTATTTCTCTTAAGGAAATGAATTCTAGCTGCTATATTGCTTCAGTGAATCTGTGTTTGCATCTTTTATACTTTGGTTGCGTAGCTTGCAATTGTTGCACCTCTTTGTGCCTCATTAAGTATTCACATTCTACACTAAAGACTTTTGAAAACTTTTTATATATAATATGCTATGGTATCGGTTTGTAATTCTATGTTTGCATCATTACACAAGTATTGGTTAGGTTTGTCCAATTGCATTTCTAGCATATTCAGTTTACTTTTCTTGTTTATTTGCTGCAGGATGCTGCTATACATCCCTCTCTGGTGATAGTTTATTTTGGTGGTAATGATTCAATGGGACCTCACCCATCTGGCCTTGGCCCTCATGTTCCGCTAAATGAATATATTGAGAATATGAGGAAAATAGCAACTCATCTGAAGGTACATCCTCAGAATCCTTGTTATACGGCTTCATTGTTATATATATATATATATCTTTAGATTGATGCGTCATCATAGAGTCTGATAGTAATAGCTTATGGATGGTCTTGTGTTTTATTCTGGTGTGTGCATGTTATGGTGGAGCTTTAGATGTCACCTAAAGCAACATTCTCAATCTACTGGAATGATTCCACAGGACAGAGAATAATGTGGAATGACAGTCTTAAACATGCATTTCCTCATCTTTTGTGTGTGTGTGCATGTGCACATCCTTTGCAATGGGGTGATCTAGCTACAGGGTGGGTGTGGGGTTTCAGAAAGGGGAAGACAGCAAAATGGTTTTAAATGCATTTAATTCAGCTGATCATTTCCATATCTAGGGACTAGGGGTGATATGATAGTGGTGCTAATTCTAACTAATGTAATCTGAAATCAGAGCCTTTCAGATTCAACACGCATCATTTTTCTTAGCTGTCCTCCTGTTGATGAGGCCAGAGTTCATCAAAACACAAGGTGCTCTGATACATGCTTTGTATGGCCAATATTGGTTGTTTTATTCATTATTCCAAAATGGCAATCTAACATATTTCCCTTTGGTAAACCAGCGGAGTCTTTAGCCACCTGGTACGAACAAATGAGTTATGCAGAATGTATTCAGAAGCTTGTATACAGCTGTGCCAGGAATTGAATGTGAAGGTGGTTGATCTTTTTACTGCTCTTCAGAATAGAGATGACTGGACAACTGCTTGTTTTACGTAAGTTTGCTTCTCCATATTTTCCCTATAATAACTTTTATCTGCCCCCTTCTTATTCCTCTGGGTGCAACTTTGAAGCGCTATAGAACATCCTAGTCTAATTACGAACAATGATATTTTTTCTTGGTGAAAATGAGATGTAAGGTTTGCTAGGTTTTCTGCTTCTCATTTTTTTCAGTTTGCAAATAAAGCTGTTACAATAGATACAATGTCGTATCATCTTAAGTCTCAACAAAGATTTCTGTTTATATTCACTAACATTTCAATATTTCTACTTCTTTATCCAGAGATGGAGTTCATTTGTCATCTGAAGGGAGCAAAATACTTGTGGCAGAGATATTGAAAGTAATAAAGGAAGCTGAGTGGCAGCCATCTTTACACTGGAAGTCCATGCCAACTGAATTTTCAGAGGACTCTCCATACTATCTAGCTGGTGCTGATGGTACAACCACTTTAAATCCTTCTGAGTGGACAGTTCACTGGGAGATTCAATGGGACTAGACTGTGGAAATGTCTTAACACTGCATAGTTCAAAAGAAAAAAAAAAAAAAACTATCTATATACCATGCGTTAAAAAAAAAAAAATTGATTAAAGGAATGAACTTGGAGTAAGATTTTAATGTAATTGCTTCTTATGCAGTCATGCCTATATATAGTGATTATAAGTCTTAGTAGATAAAAGTATGAAACTTGAGGGTGTTTTTTCTCTTTTTAGATGAACAAAATTAAGTGGTTTTATGTTTGATTTTTAAAATAAAAAAATACATATATACAAGGGGAGATTTGGAAAAAATGAAAACGTTAGGACCCATCAGAGTAAAGAAAAATCACGAGGACCATTAGCCTCTTGAACAGTTACTAAAAGCCCGTCTTTAAATATCTTAAATTTTCCCTCCATATTTTTCCTTTTTAATTTGAATCGCGCCATAATAATTCCTCCCCCAATCCGTTTCCTTCACTAGCCCAACATCAAACCCTCCTTCCGTCCCTGCTTTTTACCTCTCCTCCTCCTCTCTCCAATTCCTTCATTTCTCGTCCAATTGCCAGTACACCGGCAACAGATCGGCGACACTCTCCGCCTCCTTTCTCCAATTCCTTCTCTTCTCGTCCAATTTCCGGTACACCAGCAGCAACGATCAGTTTGTATCACCGAGTTCCCAAGCCCTTGCTTGCAGATCACCTCTTAATTTTCGCCTCCTCATAAGTCGCTCGTAAACTTCAGAAATGGCGAGTTACTATGACATTGGCGATATTCTCACCGATGAAGAGGTTAGTCTCTTTCTTCTGATCTTGCAATTAACTCTCTCAAGTTCTTTCGTCTGAAGTTTTTCGGCTTTTGCTCTCAGTTTGTTCCCGTGGTATTTCACAAGGCGGCAAACGGAGTGATAATTGATCCGAGTTCTGAAACAAATTCTGTAAGTCCTCAAGGAATCCGAGTGTAGATAGAATGGATCTCTATAGGATTTTACATATGTTAACGTTTTCTTTTCATTTCTGGTTTTCAGGTTGAACAAGGTGCGAAGGTCGAGCTGCAGTTGTGGCTTGCTCAGGAGTTACACTGGAGGCAAGCTGTGTCGATTAATGTTCCTCCCTGTTTCAATCAGAGGTATGATACTAATTTCACTTAAAAATGTAGAAATGGTCAATGATTATTCCATTTGTTTGTATAAAATCTAACTTGAAATTTTTTATAGTTTATTTTGTTTTTTTTTTTTTATAGATTCCTAAATTTATTCCTGATGATGCTCTTTAAATACCAGAACAAGGCTTGAAATCCAAGCTGATGCTGCATGTGTGGATCTTAGATCTCGGTGTCCTTATTTCTATGAATTTGGATGCAAGATACTGCCTCTGTGAGTTTCTCTGTCATTCCCCAACGTTTAAATTATATCTCTTTGATTTGGTCATTCCAAGAGAAAAAGGGTTATCATGTAAGATCATTTCTTCAGAATTTGTCTCAATAGGAAATTGGTGTCTGCCACTGCCCTGTACGGTTCATGAGTTAAATAAACTTGGTCTTTAACCAATCCTTAAGTTATAATGCAATTTCTGCATGTTTTCCTGATCTTAATTAGATGCAGAATTTAAAGCCCCATCAAATGCCTTGATTATCGCAAGATGTATTTATCTCACATTTTATAGCTGGAGAAAATCTACAATAGGGGAGAAAAGTGAGCAAGCAGATCTTCCAATTACACAATTCATAATGGCTTTTCTCCCTTTCATTCATTTTACTTGTTGGCACTAAGTATGACAAAGGTGTACCTTGGTTCAAATTTTAGTTGTTGAACTTCAGATACATCTCAGTGCTAAATGTGGATAGCTTTTGGACCATAGTAAATCTTAACTAAAATGTTTGTATGAGGTTGTCAATCTGCAGGCTTTGATGCTTCATGTTTTATTTCAAATTCAGCTATATGATTGCTTTCTTATGTCTTTTCTAGTAAAATCAGATACATTACAGGCATCCATTAGGCATTTTTACTTAATTGGCGATAATTGATGTTAATTTAAATGAATAATGAAAGAAGTTGATTGTATTTCAACTTTTGTCTCACAATTCTATAAGTGCATATATATATATATATATACAAAATAAAGGAACCTGTTTTGGTGTGAAAACACTGGGTGAAATGGCTGCTTGTACTTGCTGCATTAATGGAGTAGTAGACTATTAAGCATGCAGCAGAGATGGCGTATTGAGGCAGTAGAAAATTGAGTGAAGCAATTGTTCTTGCAGCAAGATATTGCATGTTGCTTTTCAGTGCATTTATGAGCATGTCTGTAGATACATAACAATTGAAATGCCATGGATTCTGACTAATTTTTGTTTTGCACAGAGTTGGTGATAAAACCGTTGAATTCTTGCTCTTATCTGCATTCAAGATCAGGTATAAAGAAATTCTGACCAAGGCTTACACTGCAGCATACATGGCAACTTCCAAAGTCCCAACACTTCTAACAAGAGAAGAAACCAACCGTGAGAACCCTTTGCTTGTTTAAATACTGACATCCCATTGCCATGCCTCCGCTCCACTTCTAAGTATTGGTTTCTTATGTTTTTGTGCTTTGTAGTGTATGAGGCTGCTCAGTCTTCCATGTCAGCCTTTAAGATATGGCGGATGGGTGGCCCCAGATTGCAAAGAGCTTCAGTTCTTGGGAGGAAAAGGAAATCTATTGACTAGGTGCTAATTCTAACTTGAAAATAACTCTAATCCAGTCACTCACTCACTGACTGGCACTGCACTCAAATTGTTTGGTCCTGCATGTGCAAAGTACTTTTGCTTCAAGTGGAGATTCCATCTGTTGTGTTCACTATAATCGATTCCATGAGTCATGATAACAACTTGACTTGATTTTATACCCTCTTCTTTCGGTAAAAAGAAAAGGACAGATTCCAATTATGATCAATTTAAAGATTTGTAAAAGGCGAACAACTTTGGGCATATTCCTTTCTCTCTTCTTCTTCTTCTTTTTTTTTTTTTTTAATTTTTAATTTATGTCTTAAAATGCATATATTAAGATTATAACAAATACATTTCATCATAGATTCTTGGTGGAAAAATAAAAATTGATATTTAATTTATTAATTATTTAATTAAATTTATTCATGTAATAATGATATTAAAATTAATATTAATTTTATTTTTTTTCAAATAAATTTAGGAAAAAAACCCCTTTTATCTTATAAATATGTGATTTTAGTTTTCATATTCCTTTCCTTTTTCCCTTTTAGGTTTCTTTTAAGAAAATAGTGTGATTCTTCCTATTGGCATTTTTTTATATTCCTTTCCTTTTTTCTTTTTAGTTTTCTTTTAAGAATATTCTATTTATGGTTTGTATAAAATTACAAAATAATAGTTATTGGACAAGAGAGAACTCTTAATATTAAGGATTTATTTTTATTTAATAATAATTGTTATATAATAATTAAATACAATTTGAATTATAAAATAGTTTTTTTTCTTTATATAAATATTGAGATTAATGTTTATTTGTTTTATTTTTTAAAAGATTACAAAAAAATTATTTTAAAATTATATTGTTTCAATAAAGTATTATAAGAAAAAATTAAAAAAAACTCTAATTTATGTTTTTAAAATAAGGTATTTTAATTTTTTTAATGAAAATTTATTGAAATAATATAATTTTAAAATAATTTTTAGTTTAATTTTTAAAAAATAAAATAAATAAATTCTATTCTCATAAATATTTTTGTATTATTGTTTTTTTATATTATATGTATACATGAAAATATGAAGAAGTGGTTGGGAGTAGTGACACGTTAATCGTTTGTTACAGGCCTGACATGTTTGGACAATTTTGGATTAGTAAACGTTGGGCCTTTTTCTTTCGTAAGACATTTCTGGATTGTCGTCCAATTAAAAAAGAAAGAGGAGGGAGGGCCCAGCAGTGACATGTACAGCTAGGACCAATTCTGCACTTTTTCGCGATATTTTTGGTCGGAAGATATTTTGGTAAAGTGCACGGACTCTCCTACTATTCTAAATTCTGTCTTTTTATATCCTCCCCCCCTCACAAAAAGTACTCCCTCCAAAGATATTTCTCAGATTCCCCTATTCCCACCCTCACCTATGGCGCGTATTTTTCATTTCTAACA